AGAGAGAGAGAGAGAGAGAGAGAGAGAGAGAGAGAGAGAGAGAGAGAGAGAGACACTATGCCCAAGGCCAAAACACAACACATTTGTGATTACGGGCCTGCACGGGCCTGTCCCGTTCACCAGGGCAGAGCAGGCGTTGACCTTCGGGAAAAAAATGAAAGGTTATATTCGAATACAACAATTTTCTCTTCGTGAATTTCAAATATAACGCATATGTATGCAATCAGACTCGCTTTCATTCGCACTTTAGCAAACTAGCGACGAGCGCCCACTCAAAACTCAGATATATGGCAACCCAGATACGAGTTCACATTCAATGGATATGGCGATACTGCGCCCAAACAACTCTCTGTTCGCATACACTGGATCACCCCGAATATCCCACACGCGATACTCTGCACTCACACATACACATACACACACACACACTACACACTAACTCTAGCTATGGCGGCTATGGCCGCAACTACCCTATCGCTATGCTATGCTCCTTCTCTCTGGCCCACTTCGGCCCCGGGCTCACTACAGACCTCCTTGCACAAGTCGTTGTGGCAGCGCTTCCACATGGCTCACGCAGGAATGAATGAATGGTTGGGCGCTGCCTCTTGATTTATACTTCTGGATCTCGTAGGACTCCCCTTTTCCTTCGGCCCATGGTGCACACAGTCCCTCATGGTACTTGCTGGACCGGACTGGGACTGACTGGACTGCACCGCTGACTACGTGGGGACGCACTGCTATCCTACCGCTACTGTACTGCGAACGTACTGCAGTCGGTCCACCACTTCCCCACTTGCTCGACCTTCTAGAAGGACTACAGCTAAGACTTCTGGAACTCGCTAAGACTTCTATTCGACAGACCTACAAATCGAACCCTGGCTACCTATGGGACCTACGACAGCCTATCAACTGTTACAAATACACAGGTCGTGGGTTCAACTCTACGAGTCGACATAGGTACTGTACACAGGTAAGGTGGAGACTAGGGATCAAGCCCTGGGATCTGCGTCTGCTACTCCAAAAGGTGAAAACCCGTTTCACTCCCGCCGTCCTAAATTTGACGTCCTCCGAGAATATTTTAGTCCAAGGCAAGACCTTTACCCTTCTTATCACGCTCATAGGCTCTAACTACGTCGGGAGTTGTTTCTAGAAGT